AGAAAGAAAGAAAGAAAGAAAGAGGAAAAAAGAGAGAGGGAAGAAAGAAGAAAGAAAACACAAGAAAGAAGAAAGAGAGAAAGAAAGAAGAAAGAAAAGAAAAGGGAGACCGCCGTGGTCCACATTCTCCATATTCTTCCTGTTTTATCTCTTTCTTCCCAGTGCTTGTCACTGCTTAAGGATAGCACTGATGAATCCTGATAGTATTGGCTGTCACCTACGCTAACACCTCAGCTCTGTGACCAGGGCATTTTTGACTTTACCCTGTTTACCTTTGTAGCCACATTGCCAAAAACAGAGCAGTCACTGAATTTGGGGATTGTTACACAGCAATAGTAACTGCTGTATATGTCTTATTTCATTTAATAGGAAGACTGATTGTTATCCCCATTTTATAGATTAGGAAACTGAGGCTTAGAGAAGTTAACCTCTAATAGGCATTTGGTTATGGATGGTGAGGGAGAGAGAGGTAGCAAGGATGGTGACGAGTTCATGTTTTACAGGAGTGAATGAATGAGTAGCCCTTCCTAAGGCAGGAGCTACTCAGAGAGGACAAGGTAAAGTGGAGAAGAAAGATCATGCGTTCCCTCCTGGATAAGTTGAGTTTGAGGAGCCCTAAGGGAATGGCAGGTGAGCAGGCTGAGCCAGACTAGATCCCAGAGGAGCCGGTGAGGCAGAAGAGAGAAATGTGGATATTTCAATTGGATTTGGATCATCATTCGAGTTATGGACGGGGGTGAGATAGTGAAAGAAGGCTGGCTGAGACCCAAGATACCTCAAAATGCAGCATCTGAATGGTTGCAAAGGAGACAGTGAAGGCGCAGCCCTAGAGGTGAGAGGAGAATTGGGAGAGAGCAGGGTCACAGAGGGCTTGTCTTGTCTTGCTCTGTCACCCAGGCTGGAGTGCAATGGGGTAGTCATAGTTCACTGCAACCTTGAACTCCTGGGCTCAAGTGATCCTCCCACCTCAGCCTCCCAAGTAACTGGAACTACAGGCTTAAGCCACCATGCTGGTAAAATTTAATCATTTGAAAGAGAACAATTCAGTGGCATTTAGGACATCCCAATATCTGTGCAACCGCCACCTCTGTCTAGTTCCACAACGTGTCCATCACCCCAAAGTAAAACCCGTATCCAATGAGCAGTTTCTCCCTGCTTCCCACGGACTTTTATCAAGCATTTTTCTTTTTTCTTTTCTCTTTTCTTTTCTTCTCTCTCTTTCTCTCTCTCTCTCTCTCTCTCTCTCTCTCTCTCTCTGTCTTTCTTTATTTCTTTCAAGACAGCATCTCACTCCGTTACCCAGGCTGGAGTGCAATGGCACTATCTTGGCTCACTGTAACCTCCGCCTCCCGAGTTCAAGTGATTCTCCGACCTCAGCCTCCAGAGTAGCTGGGATTATAGGCACCCACCATCATGTCCAGTTAATTTTTGTATATTTATAGAGATAGGGTTTCACAATGTTGGCTAGGTTGGTCTCAAACTCCTGACCTCAGATGATTCACCTGCTTCAAGCCTCCCAAAGTGCTGGGATTACAGGAGTGAGCCACCATGCCCGGCTTGAAGATTTTTTTTATGCCTGCCACTGTTCTATGCACCTCACATGAATTTCCTCATTCAATTCTCAGAACAGCCCCAGGAGACAGGCGTTATTATTATTAACAATTATCATTCCCATTTTATAGATGAAAAACTGGGCCTCAGAAAGGCTACTTAGCTTCTCTAGTCAAACAGCTGGTTAGACTATCACAATCAATAGATAATAATTGAGAATCCGCTATGTGCAGGGCACGGGTCAAGTAACTAGGCTTCTAGAGGTGACTCAGACACAGTCCTAGTGCTGAACTCTCTTCAGGTTTACCGGGAAAGATGCATGTTGAATAGTAAGTTAAGTAATTACAAGACTGCAAAATGCTGAGCAGGAGCCACATCTGGTGCTGGTGCTGTGACGAGGGAAGGGAGAGGATTTGGAAAAATTAAGCGAGCCCTGGAGGAAGAGGAGGAGCTACTGGAAGGGGGAGGACTGGAATGGAGTGCATTGCGGGCAGCAGGAATAGTATATGTAGTGCCAGAAATGGAAGGAAAGTCACCACCAGCCTTGCTGGAGAAAGAAAGACTTCAGGTAGGTAAGAAGAGGTGGAATTTGTTCCTTTGCAACAATGTTAGGAATTTCACATTAATTGCTACGGGCAATAGGGAGCCACTGATGGCTCAATGTCATCCACTGAGAATCACTTTACTAGTTCAACTCTCTTAGGGTATCTTAATTTCCAAATTGCCAAGAGTACGTCATTGGAGCCTCCGTGTGCTGACAACAGATCCTTCTAAGCGTAATTGAACTTCGCAGTTTTGGAGTAAAGACTCCATTTTTCTCACCTCTGTATCCCCAGGGCACACAGCATAGGGCTTCGGCACTGAACTGAACTAATTTTTTTTTTTTTAATATGCCCACCCTGAAAATACCCACCCAAACCTGAGTGGTAGCTCCCGCTTTGAAGACTCAAATCCAGGCTCTAGCATTTTTTGTCTCTGTGACTTTGAACCAGTGACTGCCACCTGGAAGAAGTTTGCCTTCTCTGTAGAATAGTTATAAATGTGGTACCTATTGTAGGAGGTCAGACTATGCTCCCCCAAATATGGCAGATTGTTGAGCCGAAAACAATTAAGAAACCAATACAGGAGAGCTCTCTGCCCGCCCTCTATTAGCCTAAAAAGCAGGGCACAGATTTGAGGATTATTATTACTCCCTTACATTATCATACAGGGTTTCTAGCACCCACTCAAGAATACTGTCATTATTAAATCATATGGTTAAGACCACTGACAAGCAAAAGTCAAAAGTTAAGGGGATCTGAAGTAGAATCCAAGACAAGGGGCCCGGCGCGGTGGCTCATGCCTGTCATCCCAGCACTTTGGGAGGCTGAGGTGGGTGGATCATCCGAGGTCAGGAGTTCGAGGCCAGCCAACATGGTGAAAACTGGTCTCTACCAAAAATACAAAAAGTAGCTGGGCCTGGTGGTGCACGCCAGTAATCCCAACTACTTGGGAGGCTGAGGCAGGAGAATCCCTTGAATCAGGGTGGTGGAGGATGCTGTGAGCCAAGATCGCGCCACTGCGCTCCAGCCTGAGAGAGTAAGACTCTTCTCCAAAAAAAAAAAAAAAAAAAAAGTGAAAATAAAATTAGCTGGGCGTGGTGGCGCGCGCCTGTAATCCCATCTACTCGGGAGGCTGAGGCAGGAGAATCGCTTGAACCCGCGAGGCAGAGGTTGCAGTCAGCGGTCACAGCGCCACTGCCCGCCATCCTGAGCAAGATCCAGTCTCCGTCACAACACACACATGCACACACACACACACACACACACATACACGCTCTCTCTCTCTCTCTCTCTCTCTCAAATCCAAGACAAGGGATCCTGAACAAGTCCTCTCACTCTCCGAACCTCAGTTTCCCCGTCTGTAATGTGGGGAGAAAGATAGCTCCTAGGGTAATTGGGGAAGGTCCAATGAGCTAATGCACAGAAAGCGCTCAGCACGCGTGAGAATTGATACCATTTTTATTTGTTAATTTTAAACATTAATTACGTTTAAAAGAATCAGTGCTACTATTGTTCCGGATTAGAGGCGGCCTGCGCTGCCGGCTCCGAGCACAGAGTGCAATTACGTCCTCCCTTTGGCGGCGCTGCCACCCGCTCGGCCGCCGGCCGAGGCAGGGGAGGTGTGGCCCGCGGGTGGGCGGAGCGATCTCAGGACTCGCCCCCAAGACCAGTGGGCGGGGCCAAGCGGGAAGCCCCGGCAAAACTCTCGCGCGCGCGCGCGGCGGCCCCAGGTACGCGGACAAGATGGCGGCGGCAGTGGTCGACAGCGCGATGGAGGTGGTGCCGGCGCTGGCTGAGGAGGCCGCGCCCGAGGCGGCGGGCCTCAGCTGCCTCGTCAACCTGCCGGGTGAGGTGCTGGAGTACATCCTGTGCAGCGGCTCGCTGACGGCCGCCGACATTGGCCGTGTCTCCAGCACCTGCCGGCGGCTGCGCGAGCTGTGCCAGAGCAGCGGGAAGGTGTGGAAGGAGCAGTTCCGGGTGAGGTGAGCCAGCGGCCCCGCGCCCCGGCTGCGCCCCCCGGCCCCGCGCCCCCCGGGGCCGGGCGGCCGCCCCGCTCGCCCTCCGCGGCCGCCCCGCGCGCGGACCCCACCCCGGACCCCTTCCCGCGGACAGACAGACAAAGGCCTCCAGGCCCCGGGCCCCGCGGGGCCACGCCAGGCGGACCCCCGAGTCCCCTAATGGCGCATCTGGGAGCTCCCCGCAGCCGAGCCCACCGTCTAGGGTGACGCTGGCGGCGGCGCGGCTCGTCCCTTTTACGCGCTTCTTTTGTGACCGACTCCGGGCTGAAATGTTTACATGGACCCAGTGATGCAGCGATCGGCGGGCGCCGCATCCCGGGGCTGGTTGTGACGGCACAGATTTCAGCGTGGCCCCGGGATAAAATCTGGCCCTGCACACTCCCTCTGTGACCTTGTGGGGAGCGACTAACCTTTTTTTGAGCCTCGTTCATACATAGACTTTGAGTGGTGGTGATCGTTAGACCTACCTTTCACCGCGGTTATTAAATTAGATGATGTTCGGGAGGCTTGCACGCAGGGCCCCGGCTCCTAGGAGGCGCGCAGGCAAGGCTCACTGTCATTGTCATTATTATTATTTTTTTTGTTACTACAACTGTCCCCATTTTAGAGACTGGGAATGGAGACTGCATTCACGCTGAAACGCCAAGGTCACACCGGGAGGGAGGAAGGGAGGGAGGGAGTGAGAGAGAGTGAGTGAATGCCACTGGGGTTTTGAACTAGGTCCCTCGCCGGGGTCCCTCTTACCCCTGGACCCCACTGCTGTCACTGTTTCCAAGGCTGCCTTGGATTCTTGTGCCCCTGCCTTTGAGTCTGTTAAGCTGAGGGGGCTGTTTCTCTCCTCGTAGGTGGCCTTCCCTTATGAAACACTACAGCCCCACCGACTACGTCAATTGGTTGGAAGAGTATAAAGTTCGGCAAAAAGCTGGGTTAGAAGCTCGGAAGATTGTAGCCTCGTTCTCAAAGAGGTTCTTTTCAGAGCACGTAAGGATCTGTTGATGGGGCTCTACGCTTTGGTCTGTGTCTGGGTCTGCAGGCATGAGCTCATCCAGCTCTTTTTCACATCTCCCTTTTCAATGCTCTCACAATCCCTTACTTAGATGGCTGTAAGAGTCATTGTGTCCTTTTCCTCCTATCCAACAACACGAAGCCATTTGTCCGTGCCAGCTTTAGTTTTCTAAAGCCAGAGAGAGAATGGGGGTGGAGGGAGCAGGGAGGGACCCACGCAGCTCAACGTAGAGGGAGAGATCAGCATTATTTCTCAAGTGGGTTCAATGGATTTTTTTTTTGCGACCCCCACATTGTTTGGGGAATCATCAGTGATTGAACAACATAAATTTCTCCCAGTTATTTTCCCAGAAGGGTTGACGAAATTAATGTGGTTATTCTCTCTGGCTTTGCAAGTTCTATCTACCCAGTAGTGAACTGCATTATTTGTTAAGGTAACAGAGGATTAAAAGCTACCTGTAAATCAGAGTTATTACTCCCTAAAATGAAATCGTCTTGCATTCATTATCCCTGAAAAGTTTTTTTTTTTTTT